GTAAGATGTTTACCGAAAAACTGGTAAAGGTAAAAGATGCAGAAAGGAAAACAAAAACAAGTTTCATAAAGCACCATTGATTTAGGCTGGTCGCTGAGAAAAAGGCGGATACCATCAGTGTTGGCTAGAAGTTTTTCACTAGAAGCATTAATTGATGACAATATGTTATGCAGATCTTCCCGGCTTACTCGTCCAACCATTGGAAAACCTGAAAAGCATTTGATTAAGTTACATAAAAATCCAAGGTTTCTGACCGAATCCTTCGAGACATCAAACGAATACCAGGGCGACCGCGAGAGCTAAGGCGAGACCTCCATGGGAGCTTTGGCAAAGGTGTGGTGTCCCTTGAGTTAGGAGGGTCCGCCGGACCCCATTCGCTCGCGTCATGCACGAATGGAGACGTTATTGCATCCTCTCAAGCAAATCGATAATCAACGGGACGACAGGAGAAGGATGCCACGTGCAACAATTTAAGGGCAGGAAGTTAAGGGAAGTGTAGCCGTTGGTTTGAGCCTGATTCTAACAGTAAATTCCGGTTCGTACTCCAAACAAGTCAAGCACTTTCTGTACCCATAGATGGGTCTTAGGCCCACAGATTTGTTTCTAAGAAAGAACTGTTCTACACATCTCAAAATTATTGGCATCAAAAAAAATAATGCGATCCATGGCTCAAATGGAGCAAAAATTCAAAAGGATCTAGGAAATAGGAAGGAAAAACAAACAAATAAACAAAAGTGAGCGCCCGAAGAGTTGTTTCTCGGAGATGCGTTCTCCCGCGCGATCACTTCGCTCTAGATCATACCGCCATCGATGATCCAGATTTGTTATTGGTACAATTTCATTTTACGGTTTCTGGGATGCGCCATGCATTCGACTTTCATATGATTTCATAAGACGTTCTAGTACGTAGGTCTGAAAGATTTTTTGTACCCGTAAAATAAACTGGCGAAAATGTTGTTGGGGGGTGCCTTCCTAAAAGTTAGGGAAGGTGCTCCGCGGTGGGTGAACCAATTGGATGTTCGATTCTTACCCCATCCAAGCTTTTTGCACGCGATAATCATCTCTCCACCCTGAAGCTCCCTCCCTAACTTTGAGAAAGGGAGGAAATCATCTCTGCACTCTAGCGCGGCACTCTGCCGACTAGTGTCAAAGACGCAGAGCACTAAAGGGCGCTGGCACCCACGAACTACATTTTCACCAGTGACCCATAAAAAAATTTAGCTTCGGTACAGAGCAAGACTAAGCTCTTATTGAAAATAAGAGTTCTAAAGGAGGAGTACTCGAAGAAATTGCTGGCAGTTTGAGTTGGTAAAATGGAATTCAAGTCCTAAAAGCCAATCTACTCCCCAAGCTTTTCGGAATGAAATTTCGTTCTGAATGGGGCCATCAACCCAATTGAAGTGCA